TGTGTGGGGGGGGGGGGTGTAATTCTGATCATATGAAACAAATGCTGTGCTAACTTCGTATTGTAATTTCTTTAGTTTGGTGTTTTTGTAAATGAAATTGTATGTTTTTTCCAGAGTATTTTTGTATGTACTGTAAAATACTGTCTTCCAAAGAGAAACTTAAAATCTTCAGTCTCTCCTCATTATTTTTTATGTGGGTCAGATATGCTAAAAACTAATCCCTAACCCAAACCTTTGTCTCACCCCGACCCTCCTCAGGTTGTTCTGCATAATGATGATAACGTGCTAGAGTCAATTTGATGCGAGAAGACTGGGAACGCTCCTTCCCTGCTTCTAGTATTTCCAGGCTTTAGTTTAAAGTTCTGTGAATGAATAGTGCTATCTGTAAACTGAGTTGGTAGCTGAAGTCCCAACTGGCTATTTGGGCAATAGATACCCTTAAACTTTTAGAGAATTGCTTGACTTAAACAGCAATTCTGAGCTCTGATCATCTTAAGCATCCACTGGAAACTTTCTTAGTTACAAGACCTAAGGGCTGTAAAGGAAGAGGGAGAAGTGTGTGTTTTGTAAGGTCTCCCTTATATAATGTCTTTCCCTACTGCTAGTATTCCAAACTTGTAGAGAAAGCATGATTATATTTAGCACAGTATAGTTAGTTTTTTTCCTTATTACATCTGGCTTCTAGTTAGCTTCAAGTGCAAGTTAGCTTTTTAGAAGTCTGTTATAAACAGGTCAGTGGCATTCCACAGCTGTTCTGAAAGCATTCTAACTTCAAATTGGTTTTAGTGGGTTTGAGAGGTCCCATTCTTGCTTCTTCCTCACTCTTCTTCCCCTTGCGGGGAGCGGGGGAAACAAAAGACTCTTAGTCCCAGTTTAACATGAATCAAACAGATTAACAGCAGAACTACATCTTGAGTTTATAAAATAGTTCCTTCAATTTTCTAACCTTGTTTAAAACTCTTCTCTTTAAATATTGTCAAGTCTGTATGCTAGCATACAGAACATATGCAGCTTCAGCACCTGTGTAGCAAAGAAAAAGTTATTTGTAAATTTGAAGGAACTAAACCTGAACTAGGTGATATAAGGTAAGCAGCAAAGCAAATATGAAAATTGTTTTGTAATAGTCTACAACCCTGTAGTATTAACATGCTTTTAAATAAATTCTTCCCCTTGAGTCTTCTCTGACTTGGGTTGGAAGCATCCTTCAGCAAAGTCTCTTGACACTTTCCTCCAAACAATCTTTGGCTGTTTTGCACTTAGGTGTGTACTATTAGAGGGATTATGCAACCAGTCTTCAAAATTAACCTAGCTAGTGGATATTGAGGTACATACCTTCACATAGGTTGTTTTTGTCTTCTTAACTCTTGCTTTGCAGTTTATCTTCTAAACAGCCCTACTTCAATTTTTCTCTTCCTAAGGTTTGAAGAAGAATGTTTAGGAAGAAATTAGGTTATTAGTTACTGGAGCTTGATCCAGCATAGTTGAGATTACATACTTTCTCTTAACATACCTGACTCAGCACTTGGTCCTGCACACAATGACCTCACCGTTCTGGGGTTTCCCTGGATGTTGCAGAAGTGCAGCACTGCCCCAGGGCCATATAGCTAACGTGGTGTTCCGAGTGCTTCCCTTTGCTTTTGATGGGTTAATGGTTGTATTTCTGCTTTTCTGACTAAAGTTAAATTGAATTACAATCTGAACATTTTCCTTGATTTATAGACCTAGTCCTCTGTTAAAATGACTGAAGGTAAAGTTACTCATGTATAAAAAGACTCCATGAAGTTTTCACATCAAACTTCCTGCAGATGTTACTGTCTTCTGTCTGCTTCCTGAGCTAGTTGCTACACTTATGTGTTGGAGATAAAGATGGAAGGGTCGAGGGATATATGATCAACCTCCTTAAAAAGGAGCACTTCTAGTTAAATAGTGTATTGTTAGTAACTTGGGCAAGAAATTGCATCACAACTTAATGTCTTTTGCAGTTTTCTGTTTGTTAGGTATTAGTGAAGAAATGGTTAATGAAGTCATCTACACTTATGTTGCAGCAACTAAGTGACCAAGTAACAGAACATTCAACTTTTGCCTTAATGAGTAAAAAGCAAAGAAAAAAGGTGTTTTGAAACTGTTGTTCTTGGTTTTCTGGTGTAATTAGTGCTGCCTTTACGTAATACTTTCATGACATAAGCTCAGTAGCCCCCAAACAAGCCAAAACTCCTAACTGTATTTTAGCTGTTACCTCATCGCACTTACAAAGAGCCTGGACCTAAGCGTTACTCCAGTAACCCAAAGGCCATGGTTGTAGTACGCCACGGGAGGGGGATCCCTGACCTGCTACTGCTAACCACCCTGGCATGGAGGCGCTGTGCCCTGGCCTCAGAAATCATACCACTGTAGCAGGCATTTTGCAGTTCCTGTGAAAGCAGCTCCCTTCCCCTTCCGCGGTGGGGCTGCGTGCCCTTTCCCCAGCAGGCAAGCCAAGGGGAAGGAAAGGGGAGGCTGCCTGTTTTTTGTCTCCTCCCTGCCTCCTGCAACCAAGGCTTCCTGGCTTGGGTGGGGTGGGGGCAGGTTTGTGTTGTCAGGCCAGCAGTGGGGGCGGCCAGGGTGCTGAGAGCTGTGTGTGCAGTGACGGCACCTGGCATGTGACCACCACCACTGCACTCTGAAGGCGGGTGGGAAACACCGCTGCGGCTCTGTGCCTGCCTTCTGCCTCTGCTCACCAGCTTGCAGTGCTGGGTGGTGGGGGTGGCCCTCTGCTTCCTGGCTGCTCTCTTGCTGCCTTGCCTTTCCTTGGATCCCACCAAGCTGAGTGTGGCAGGGTGTTTTCCAGCCCAGGAAAAGCTCTGGGAGCTGGAACTGAGAGGGAGGAGCAGTAGACTAAGAACGCTGCAGGGATGCCTCCCTGTATGCTGGCTGGGAGCAGCCAGGCCCAGCAGGGCTGTGGGCTACCTTGGCCCTCACCTCCCTGCTGCAGGCAGTTGGCCTGGGTGCTGAGCTGTGAATGTGGCCCAAAGGCTCAGGTCTGCCCCAGGCTGCTGGACCTAGTGTGTGTTGTGGTGTGTGTGGTGTGTGTGTTTTTTTTTTTTTTTTCCTTCTTCTCCTGGAGGCATCTCAGCAGAATAATACCTTGATGGCTAATTCTTCTGTTTTAGCAGATGTGCCTTTTAGCAGTCTTCTGACCTTCAGAAAGTTGATTGAAAGCAAGCTGATACTGCTCGCTGTTGGGCTATTCCTCTTCTGGGAAGACCCTATCTGATTCAGCCATCTCTTTCATGTCATGTGGTCCCAGGCTCCAGCCCATTTTCCTTTCTCTCCTGATACTCTCGCATCTTCCCTTCTTGCCCAAATCAGTCTTTACTTCCTCTGCATTTGAGCTGGGTGGTACTTTGTTCTGTGCTGATGGGATGAAATCATTGGGAGTCTTGAAACCAGAGGAGAAATAACCTTGATTTCAGTTTTAATGGGTGGCAGTGTGGCAATCAGCAGCTATTGCAGGGACCATCCACCTTGGTCTCTATAGTATGTGCAATGGAGAGAAAATGGCTAAACAGGTCTCGCAAGCATGTGCAAGTCTAAATGTTTCAAAGGTTCAACATATGCCCAAATGTGTGGTTTTTCAAAGGAACAGCAAAAAGTCCACTAGTGACACCAGCACAGCCTCCATGCTAAATTTCATGTCCCTGTTTCTGAAATCTGAAGTTAACTGTTTCTTTATAAAACAGTTTTAAGAATTCTTTGAATACAAAGCAGCATATTTTCCCCATGCTTCATTCTTAGAAGTGATTGAGTCATGTTTGTTCTTTTCTAAAAATCAGCTGGAGGCAGTATATGTAATCTTATCCAAAAGCAAGTTTTAGCAGGCTTAGGAGTGACTGGAAATAGGGTCTTTAAAATAGAAAGTGTTGGCTAGCCTTAGTTAACAAAGTGTACTGATGATAATATAGAAAAAATAAAACGCAGTAAATGCTATAGCAAGTAGATTCTAAAGCTAGAAAAAGGTAGAATTAATTTTCTCCCTGCACTTTTAATTCTGTCCCTTTTCTGTGTCTCTCACAGACATATGGCAAGAACAGAAAGTGATCATTAAACACTGTCAAAGTGCAGACACAGAAGATTAAATTGAGGCTTTGTGAATATATCTTAACGTATAAATACTTGGTTGTGTGACTTAACAAAAAAATGCTAAAACATTGCTGTGACTCCTTCTAGGGTTTTTCCTCTTTTGTGTCTCTAATACAGAGCTCATTTAATTACGTAAACCTCTTCCACTGCTGAGCAGAAGAGCACAAACTTGACATTGTGAGCGCTACCACAAAGACTGTTAATAGCTAAAGAAGTAACTGCTAAAAGTGCATATTCTACTCTCAAATCAGGCAGGCCTTGAAACATCATTAACCTAAAAGTTAGTTCTGTTTCTAAATCATATATAACAAAACATGAAATCTTTCAGTGTTTCTTGCAAGACCTGTAGCTGGCCGTTACAGATTTGGGGATTTTTGTCTGAGTGCTATAGTGTATGTTAATTGTCCCAACTAATGTTGAGTGTTTTTCAGGTCTGTATCAATGCTGTTACCTTTTCCGCTGTGTAGTGTCACAACTGTTGGTAGAGTTTGTAAAATAATTCAGTGTAGTTCTCTTGCCTAAAGCATTTACAAACAAAAATCCCATTTGTCAAATCATGAACAATGGGCAGTGAGATTCAGTATTTTCTGCAGAGTTCTTGTTTGTAGTAACAGTTAAATCAGACCAAAATTATACATCTGGGAGTTGCATTTTGAGGAAAATGAGTATGTTGTAATCAACAAAGTACTAGCGATGACAAGGAGAGGGAATCCCCTGTTTTCTTCCGCTATTCTCCCACTGAATAAATCACTGGGTTATGCCAAGTGATAAGCTGCTGAAGTACAGAGATGTTTACTTTTTCTGTAACTCAGGATAAATATTTGGCATATGCCTGTAAAACTGTAATTGTGTTTACTAAGTTTCTGTTCCTCTTACAGAAAGAAGTAATCAACAGTGTTTTAATTTTCTCTCCCATTCTTATGTGGTGTGGCTTCAAGTGGGGGGAAAATTCACCAAGGGTAGTATTTCAGTTTTCTCTAGACTTAATGTGCTTATTTAAAGCTAATTTCAGTTCACCTTTCAGTAGCAAATAAGCAGAAATGGATTGGCCAGAAGCCCAACTACGGAGCTGAGATAGGAGTTCTTATATTCAGACTCGGGCTTGCATGTGTTCAGCCAAAAAGGTCATCCCTAATTTCAGTGGCTGTGATGTTGATGGGGAAAACCCTGCTGCACTTTATTTGTCCCTGTGCTAAGGTCTAAAACCTCAAACAAGAGCAAAGTAACTACTGAGATAGAAGCTTAAGACTTGTGTTTAAAAACTGACCACAGGTTCTTAGTAGCTCCTGAGCAAAAGACTGGATTACTGTCTTATTGGATCCCATTTGTATGTGAACTTGGTTCTCTTCAGTCCTTGTTCCATTTGCTTCTGTTTTGTTTTTCAATTAGTTATTAAAGAGAGCTTTCACTAGAAAATATGGGACGACCTTCTGTTTGATCACTAAGGGAATGCAGCTAGCACCAGTGTTTGTTGGAAGACTTCTCATGTGAAATAATTGGGCAAAGGGTAAGCCAGAGTACCCACCAAATGTTCCTTAGAGTAAAATTAAGTTCTGATAGTATTGTGCCCTTTTCAAGGCTTTCTCTGACAGTATATCAACGTGTCTTTTTCAACATCTATTCTTTGCAACATCTCTTGAAGTTTCGTTATCCCTGCCCTGATAGAGAAAGAATGAGAGACACATAGAGCTTAATGATTTATGAAGGGTCAGACAAAGTTTGTGGCAATACCAGAAACTGAAGCCAAAATCCATAAATGTGCAAGATTCTAAGTGCTGTTTGACCCTTCCTCCTCAATGTCATTTTGTCTATGGCTACTCTGGGGATTCCCAGTATGCATTAATTGCTGCCTTATTACGTTCAGCTAAGAAGGACTATTGTAACTATCTCTACAGATTGTAACTGTAACTAACTACTGATTTTAAGCTACTACGTATGTGGTGTCTGTCTTTTTTACCCTGCTATTCTTTCTTACGGCTTTTTAAAAGCTTGCTGTTTAACTTAAGGTTGTCAAGAGCTGGTAGAAAGTTAAGAAAAAAGAAATCACAAATTGTTTCTTGCTTTTTTTTTTCCTCTCCACAAAGAAGTTGCACTAAGCATTTTAACAGAACATGCAGTACCATAGGACTGTCAAATCCAAGTTAACACCTTACTAAGTGTTGTTGGCAAGTTCATACATCTTGCCCTTGTGGGACAGAGGGGTTAGTAGGGGAGCATATAATTCCTGACAGTAGAATTGCCCCAGAAATTTTCTAAGGGGTTACAAGTAGTCACTACAAGAACTGAATGCATGATAAATGTTAGCTCATTTTAAAAATGCAGGGTTGGGGAATAGTCAGTACTTACTGACTAGTGAAATCACAGGCTTTAATTTAATATTCATCAAGATTCTAGATTTGACACCCTGCTAGAGACCCTTCTTGTAGCTTTCCCGCTCTCTTGAGCAGCGGCTGCAGTATATCACCCCAATTGCCACGTGAAGGGTGATTGTAGCTCTTAACTGAGTAAATCTCAGCAGAAACCTCCAGTTAAGTTAATAAAAAAAAAAAAAAAAAAAATTACATATCCCAAGGTAGCGTTTCAGCATAGGAGGTTGCTTGCTTGAAGCTGTGCGTTAAAGCCACAAGGGCCTTGGGCATCACAAAATAACGTTGAGGAACCCCATGAATTGTTGCTTGGTGACACCTGAATCCCTAAAATCTGTGTGTTAAGTACTGCGGTACTGAGCAGCATGCCGCCTAGGTGTTGCTGTGGGTTTGTCTCAGACTTGTGACCATAATATGAGAATTGGAGTCAAAACTTATTAAATTCAATGCGAAAATGACTCTTGGTTTCAGCAGAAGCCAAATACATTTATTTAGGAAAGGGATGTAGCTATTGAATCAGGTCGGTTCAATTAATGCTGCCTATGTGAACTAGTATCTTATTACATCTTTATGAATGAAAGACCATTTTTAGTAAGTATTTGGTAGGCTTCTCTCTCACAGTACTTAAAAGAATGGTATGTTTGTGAGGCTACATGTATTGTCACTCATGGACAGAATTCAAGTGAACTGAAGTGGAAGTTTTGTCTGTAGAAGATGTGTGTGATTAGACTCTTGGCATGTCAACTGTACTGCGGCGTTACGGATGTTTTAACTACGTGGCCCCAAAACTTAATGAACTTACTCCTGTAATCAAAGCTTGTTCAGTGCAAGGAACAAGAACATGCCATGGCTTAAAGCCCCTCAAACAGAGGTGGAGAAAACCCTCAGTTAAGGGAAGATGGCCTACCCCCTCTGCAGCTTTAGGAGTGTAAATCTTCCTAGATTTTCTGGCTAGAGCTGTTAATTGGTCTCTGCTGCCTGAGCATGTCATGAGTGAAGCTGGAGACGCTCTTGTAAAAGAAGCCCCCGAATTCTGGCTCCCCTCCATCTTACTCAGCCAGAGCAGGAATTTATAAAGATACCAAACTTCTGTTCTTAAAGCATTACTATGCACACCCCATTAGAAAGCTGAGGGTTGGAAGATAGCCGGTACCTGTTACAAAAGATGAAAAATTTGTGGGTTAGAAGCTTATGAAGGGGAGGATATTGCAAGAGAAAGAACTGGACAGGATTGTCAGAGAAGAGGCCCTCATAGAGCAGTTATGGTGACTTATTAAGGGGAGGGGGGAAAAAAACCTTCAATCTAAGCGGTAGCCACACTTCTGTTTGTTATCCTAAGCCATAATCAGGTGGGTGTGGCTTTTGTTTGTCTTACTGTTTTAGGAAGTTCTTGATACCATCTTTATCCCCAGCCACCTGAGTCCTTTTCCTTGCCCCTGGCTGGTGACTTTGGCTTCTTTAGTTGTGGTGAATCAAATATATGCATAGCTAAGGAACTCAGCGCTCTGGGAGGGGGGAAAAAAAATAGTTCACTTATTTACCTCCTTTTTTGTTATTTCAAATTACAGCGGTGCTTATGAGGCAGGGTTGCTGACCACAAAAAAAAAAAAAAGGTTGTTTATAGCATATAAAGGCTGGGAGAAACTAATTGTTATGCTAAATATGGTTTATTCTGTAGCTCCATTCAGCTATGTATTTTTTGTTCTTCCATCCTTCTTCCAGGGCCCTGAGTAAATATTCTTCCAAGCACTGATAGTAATTTGTCTCGTTAGTAAATTGTCCAGGCAGCCTTCTCTTTTTGCTTCCTACATTTCTGGTCTCCTCCAGCTTCAGGACAGAAGCATATGTTAGTCCTAAGCTTATGTAAGTGAAAAGTCTGTCTGCATTACATCACATGGTTTTCCCCTTGACCAGTTACAGCAGTGCTGTTTTGCAAATAAGGTTTTAACAGTGTTGCAAGGGTAGAGCATTGAACTGACCAAGTCTGTAGTTACTGGGTCAATTGCCACAAAGTTTGTGATGTAGAGCATAACACTTTTCTTTCTGCAGATAACCCTGTAATTGCAGAGCTACAGCAATGTTTATGCTGGAAGTATTTATTGACACTGAAGCTGAAAAAATGCATATTCAGGAAACAAACAGTCTCATGTGTAACTAAGACACGTAAAAGGAACATAAATCCTTGTTTTAGTAGAGTCCTGTCGCTAAATGGCAGGGGTTTTGAAGAAACATTCTAATTATTGAGGCTTAGGCACTAATGGGTATTTTGTATCCTGAGAACTCTGACATCACCTGCTGTTGGGGGAAGGAGAACTAGTAGTGCTAGCAGCTGCAATAGTATAGCAGACCCAAGGGACTGCCAAAAGACAATATCAGTGTTAATTGTAGTTCTGTATGATCCGGTTGCATGTTTTTAATAACTGTGTATTTCCCAGCCATTTGTCAAATGACTTCAGATAGCAAGGCTACTTGAAAAATAAAGGTCTCTTGAGAATCATTTCCAGTTCTGAGCCTACAGCCAGGTTTGAGCGCCCCAAATCTGAACCTCATCTGCCTCCCACTCTTTGAATCATCATGCAAAGGTATTCCATAGAGAAGATCTTACCTAATGATGCTTAAACCTTGTTTTACGTAGGTGTAGCTGAGCATGTGAGAGAGAAAATAGTAGATTTTCAGGAGCAATGTTTTGTCCAGTTCTACTTTCAACTCAGCTTAATATCTTTTCAAAACAAAAGTGTTGTGTATGTGAAAATTCCATGGTTTGGTCCTGCATGGATAAAAATGATGGGTTTTAATCAATTAAACCTGTAGGTTTTAGAAGTGACTAGAGTTGTATATTCTTAAGGATGTCAGGTCTGAACTTTCTTGAAAAGCTATCTGTCTTGTCTCACAAAGTTTCTTATCTTTTAAATACAGTTATGGACTAAGAATCCAATAACTTTTTTCATGAATAACATGACTCGTTATATACGTAACTTCTTTCTCTGCTCTGAGCAGCAGCTCAGAAAACAGTTTCACATTTCTCATTCTTGGATTCTTGTGTGCTAACAACAGTCTTTAATCATCCATTGCTCTAAGGCCAGTTGTATCTCTGGGGCATGTTGTCTGCCTTCTGATTTTGCTAATTCACGTAGGAGACTAAACGTTTCAGAAAGCAAACTGATTAAAAAAAGCTCAGTGGGCCAAAGACAGGAAGGCGACTTGATGTTAGAAACCTACTGATGTTTACAGCGGTATCTGGACACGTAAAAATTGCAAATGAATTTCAACATATCTTTTAACATCTGCTGCAATTTCATCAGGGAATCTTTGGCTGTACTAATACTCTACAAAGCCTTTTGCTTTTACATGGGAGGTGTAACGTGTTTTGCTTTTAAGGCCCCATCTAGTCAAAGGTTTAAGAAACTTTTCAACTTGAATTGCGTAAGGAATGCCCTTGAGTTCAGCGGGATAACTCATAAGGTTGAAAGTAAAGGTATGGTTTTCTCCTTGGTCAAGGTATGTGACACTTCATTTCTCCTTTATGACCAACAGTAAATTAGCAGTGCTGATTGTGGCCTGATGTTGATGTACTTGAGTAGCATTAAGTAAGTACCTTGGTTGCACCACATATCAAAGCTTGGTGCTTGGCTTCTCAAGTATGCTTTTGTGATCCTTTGTTGGACTGTTGCTTGTCGATTGTTACAGGTGAGTGATTAAATATAGATTCTGCAGTAATGATTATGTGGACTGACAAATACTTTGTGAATTCAAGTGGGAACTTTGATCTCAGGCAGTTGATTTCTGTTGTGCAGATCATGATGTAGGCAGACTTTCTTTAATGAAAACGCCCGGAAAAGGCACTGTCAGCTATCTTTGCCTCTCTTGGAGACGAGAACCTGAGTCCCTGTTTTGTGCAGGAAGATCTTACCCTCTTGCACTAGGAGAAGGACAAAACCATGCAAGTATGGGAAAGCTCTTAGAAGCAGATTTAACGACGTTTACAGAGAAAGCAATAGTTTGCATATGCTGTCAGGAAATCTTTGTAATGACCACAAGGGGGCATTTTATCAAGACACTGCGATCCCGACTGTATTATTGCTCATGAACGCTGAGGGAGCGGCATCAGGACCTGTAAAAGACGAGCTCTTGTGATGGCAAA